GCTCTGTTGTCAACATGTACAGTAATGGGAAATCCAGAGTCTCTGTTTAGCGTTAGCCGTTAGCTTCACCAGCCGATCACACGGTCACTTGGTTTCTGAGCACTCCAGCTGTTCTATATAAACTCCTTGTTCAGGACACGTCTGCCTCTATCTGACCAGAAATTGTTTCTCATTTTAAGTTTTTAAAACCCTTTCCCTTCCATCTGTATTTTCAGAACTATAAGTGCAACACAAACTACATGGACGGCAGGTTGTATCACCTCCCGTTTGGTGGATCCAGCGCGTCTCTGAACGGCACCATGCAGAGCGGGAAGAGCCAGCAGAGCTACGTGCCATTRGCTCTCAGGTGAGGGAGTCGTTTTAACATGAGCTAAACGTTTGTTTTTAACATTCAGACATCAGTGAACTGTGTTCTCTGTTCTCGTTCAGGGATGACGGATTAAACACCAGCCAGGCGCACATCGCTCTGAACGACCACACGTCGCTCTTCCACGAAACGAAGGAGCACATGGACGGTACCGCCGCCACCTCGTCTTGTTTTTTCCACCTGCTCCACCCAGATTCTGTCATCTAAACCCTGTCTCCGTCTGTCCACAGATCCCGACAGCGACTCGGACAGCGACCTGTCTCTGGAGGACGACCAGAGCGGCTCCTACGCCTCCACGCACTCCTCTGACAGCGAGGACGTGGAGGGTCCCCTTCCACCGGAGGAATGCTGGGAAAACCTGGCGTCCAACGGTGTTAAGAGGCCTCCGCCACACGGTAACCATCTGCTTTGTTTAGAGTGTATCAACGTCTGGTTTTATTTTAACCCTCAGCCTTTTGAGTCTCTGTGTTTCCTAAAACTCACACTGAAAATATTAATGCACCTAAAGATCTGAAGTAAAACTGCTTCTTTAATTAAAGTTAGTTTAGAACCTTTTAATGCCAAAGTGAGTCACAGATTGAAGCAACACATATTACTATATTATATTATGTTATATTATATTATGTTATATTATATTATATTATATTAATAATAATGGTAATATATAAGTATTTCACTCTTCTGAGTTTAACCATGTTTCCTTCAACAACTTGGAGAAATGACGCCATCCAGTGGGACATTCTGACATTACAGTAAGCTGCTTTATGATGAAACTTTCAGAAAGTAATAATTAGAGGTACATCTACAGCTGATCAACCTTTAGGCTGCTGCAGCGAGCTGACTTTAGCAAATAAAAATTAACACAACTCAATCAGTTTGGCAGATATTTAAGACTGATACCTGTTGTTTTTATTAACACCTGAAGATCACATCAACCAGGAAAAATAATTTTAAAGAGTTGTGGTGCGTGACTCAAAAGTCTCAGGACACCCTTTTGTTTTGATCCTATATGGCAGCTTTCACGATAGAGGCCGTTCTCTGGACATACCCTAAAGATAGGCCAAATTTTCYAAATTTCCTTTTGATTCTATAAAAAAAAYATGTCCTGTGGCTTTTGACTCACCCTTTATTTACAGACTTTTAATCTGTCCCACTCTGAGCTGCATCGTCTCATTTCTCTACTCTTCTGTGTCTCTCAGACAACAGTTTGGGCACGGCGCTCTGGCCTGTAGAGTACTCAGCAGGGGTTGGTGACAGCGACCTGGCAGGTGGAGACAGAGGGAGGATGGAGGCTCCTGAACCGCTCCTCGGTCGTAACGTTCGGTCGTTATCAGACGACAGACTGCAGGAGTCTGCGACGATGCTGCTGCCTGCTCTACCAAACTTCAGCTCTCATCCTCACAAAGGTTCAAAAACAAACACGTTTTTTAACCCAACAGAGATTACAAACATCTTTTTTTTTTACATCAGCAGCTTCCTGTTTTTATTCTGTCCAGGGATCCTGAAGAAGAAGCAACTCTCTCCGATCGTAGAGAGGAACAGCCTCCGCCGCGTCCACAACCAGCTGAGTGAAAGCGGTCCGGGCACYGCGCCTCCGCAGGGATCCTCCTCCGGCGAGGACCGAGTCAAACCGGACCCGCCCGATCGGCTGAACGGCTTGGCGCTGAGCATCAAGGCGGGGACGGTGGACGGCGACTCGTCGGGGTCAGAGTGAGTATCGGCTCTTGCATGATTCAAAGGGGGCGGGGCTTGTGTGTTTTTTCTGCTCGTCTCCGTCTCTCCCGGTGTTTTAGTGTCCGTGTCTGATTACAGTCCGTGCTGTCCTCAGTCTTCATGTCTCGTCTCATGACATCAGCCTGGTTTATTCCTCTCAGAATTTACTTTATTTTACAAATGTTATTGTTGAAAACGAGCTCCAAACGTAGATTTCTCCTGTATTTATTCCTCATTAGGTCAAATTAACAGGAAGTAAAAATCTTTTAGAGACTAATCGAATCTTTCTGCCTTTTTTTCTCTTTTCAAAAACAATCATAGATTTTTGTTTTTTAGTTTTATCCCATGAAGCTCTGATCCTCAATCGATCAGGATCACAGCTTCAGACTGGTTTTAGCCACACCCCCTCCCCAACACCCCCCTCTGTGTTTTATCCATCATCATTTCCATTTACCTTGTACTCCCTCTTGTGTTGGGCTGCCGCCTCCTCCTCCTCCTCCTCCTCCTCCTCCTCTTCACATCACCCTGTTTTCCCAGCAGCCACTGCAGCAGCTCCATGTGACCTCGCTGACGGAGGGGTGTGTCTTTGCAGGTCATAGGTCCTCCCTCCTCAACAGTCAGCGCCGACCAGGAGCACCAGACCTCCTCATCAACAAGAAGAAATGAGGAGTTTGTCGTCCTCTGAAGGAGTGTGTGTGTTTGTGTGTTTGTTCATACGTGTGCCAAACTTCAGGAGTCACACAGAACAAGTCTCCCTTTAAAGAAATTGTTTTGTTTACATACTTGAAGAAATGCACTTTTTTTTTTAAATCTACTGCCCAGATTTTTTTTTCAGGATTTTTATATATTTTTGCGAACTGTGGGGGAAATGGTTTTTTTTTTTTTTTTTTTTTTTGGGTGGCTCATTTCAAAATGTTCAGGGAAATTTCCTTTTTGTTTTTATCTGTGTGAAAACGTTTCGTGACGTGTCGCCGGGTCGAGGAGGTCGGACTCGCATCGCCTAGTGACGTCTGAAAAAGTCAAAGAGAGTGGCGACTGATCCAGTTTGGGTCACTCGCAGACGCCAGGACTCGTCTGAACTGAACTTGAAAGCAGGAGGACTTGGCCCGTTAAGGGAAGCTCCATATAAGCTACGTCTCATCACCGTCCACTGGAATAATAACTTTTTTTTTTTACAGACGCACTTGTTTCTCATATCTGAGGGATAAAAACATTTGAGTTCAGTGACTAAACGGCTGTATTTTATAGAATAGAGGCAGATGTTTTTTGTAAAAAAATTTAAATAAAGGAAAATTGGTGCAGATTTGTGCTGTAATTTTGAGCTGTAATCATTTTTTTTTACTGTACAGAGCAGCCTGGATATGAACTGAGAACATATCTGTAAATGTGGATAGAAAAACTGATGTGATGTTTGCTGATGCCATTTTTTTTACAGATCATTTATTGTATAAATACATCCCATAATAAGTCAGTCATGGTGTTATAACACCGACGTCCAAACAACGAATGTCTCTTTTACTCCACAGCTCCTGTTTTTACCAATTAAACTGTTTTCTATCAATTCTGCTTCACTTTTTTTTTTCAGTTCCAAACATAACATTTCAAAAACGTCTTTTAGATAAATATATTTACTGTGATAAGTTGTAATTTCTTTATATTTTACCTGCCATCCTTTAATCCGTTGATTTTAATCATGTTTATGACACGGTGGATTTGTTGTAACAGATCATTTTATTAAAAAAGATGTTTTGAATACACACAGACACGTTCAGTTTAAATACAATCTAAAATTAATCTCATATATTTATATATTTTTTATAATACTGTGAATGCACTACTCTTTAAAACAAAGTTTGCTTCTAGTAACATTTCTACGACAAAAGTAGCAATTAGCGCTGCAGCTACCAGACAAGCATAGTGTGGAGTTTGTATACAAGTACACAAAGCACAAACAATAAAACACACATATTTGCACACGCCTGGCGTCGTTCAGCTCCTCATAAATTAAAGTGAATCAAACGGCGACGAGCAAAACGTCGATCGCCCTCTCCTGTTGGTCCGAACGGTTCTCCTGTTCGTTAGTTCGTGGGGAGTGTTTTCAGCTGGAGTCGTCKAGGCTGCTGCTTTTCTGCTCCGAGCCGCCGCCACCGCACAGTCGCTCCATGATGCTCTGCAGGCTGGGCTGCACGATGCCGAGCAGCGGTCGCAGGGAGGGGTCGCCGTTCCAGCACGCCTCCATCAGCTGCCAGCATTCCTCGTCGAAGGCCGGCTGTCGCTCCGGTCTGGAACCTGAAAGGGATGAGGGGACAGAAGTGAGTCCCTGATGGAGAAGGGTCCACAGGAAGGGCCTGATGGATGAACTCTTCCTGAGCTAAAAGTGAACTAGGTTTTGTGGAGTCGTCTAACCGAAGAAGTCCTCTAAATCAAACACTGAACATAAATCTATCGTCCCACCTGAACCCCACCAGCAGGGGGCAGTGTTGCTGTAAAACTCATTTAAACCCAAAAGTTAGAATTTTAAGATTTCTCGTGAGAAACTTAAACTTTGAGTGAAAAGTGATTAAAATCCTGCATTAAACGAGGCTTTGGATGAATTGTTGCGACTTCTTGTAAGAACAGATGTTATCAGAATCTGCTTGGATTAAAAACTCTTCTGTTATAAAAACMAATGAATCTTATCCGTTAGTCCACAAACACAGGAGAATTAGTTTGCATTCTTTTTGAGGGCAACCTTTTTTTTATTTTTACCTTTTTTAACATTATTCCAGAGTTGGTCCTTGCTGGAGCACTTCTCAAAGGCTTCTGGGAGTTTAACTGAACCGGTGCAGAGGTACCAGAACAGGATCCCAAAGGCGTAAACGTCGACAGAGTTATCGTATTTTCCTGTCAGGACAAACGTCACAGAAGAGTTTGTTACAATGCACTTCCACCTCTTGATTAAACATTACAAATGCATCACATAATGATGTTAGATAGTTGCTTTAACTAAATAAAAAAAACGTTATGTCACATTTGAGCTGTTTTTCATTAAAGCGATTAAACAGATTGACTGAGCTCAGACCTGTAAACAGCTCCGGGGCCATGTGGATGGGAGTTCCTACGATGCTGCCGGACATCATGGCCTCTGGTTTACAGAAGCCGAGGTCGGTGATCTTCGCTCGGTTCTGTTTGTCCAACTTAAAGAGAAATAAAAGTTTAAAAAAAAGAAAGACAAGAGAAGTACTTTGGGTTGCATATGTGTGAACAAAAAGACAAGCAATAGATCAAAATATTTCTAAAACATTTGACCATTCAGCATGATAAACTCAAGACAAACCAGTCTCTGCTGACAGTCGGGTTTTAGTTGTTTCATTATTGTTTAAATCAGTTAGACTTTAGTTATCATTTCTTTAATTTGCAACTTTCTTTTTTGAATTTGTTTTGTGACTAGTTCATCAAAATCAATGTTTGTTTTTATGTTTGAGTTTCATCATTTACATAAAAATATTTGGTATTTTTCTGTTAGGTGTAAATATTTAAAMTTGTACATTTTAAGTTTATTTATCTGAAATGTTCACCTTTTATGCAATGTTTACAAAAAAATAACTGAAAACATGTTAACTCATATAAATTGAAAGGGAAGAAGAGTTTTGTTCAGGATTAAGTAAGTTTCCTGTAGGGACAAATGTCGCCCCCTGGTGGTCAGGAGAAAGAATGCAGGTTTAAGCTGCTGCTTTATATTTTGGTCTCATGTTGAATCTTTCTTTAAAGCTAAATGTTTCTAAATAAGTAGCTTCATGTGCAGTTGTTCTGAACTCACCAGAACATTTTTCAGTTTGATGTCTCGGTGAACCAGACCCTGACTGTGCAGGAAGCGGATCCCCTCCACCACGTCCAGAGCGATCTGAAGTCTCTCCCTCAGCGACAAACCGGCCTGGCAGAGAGGCACGGGACAAAACCTGAACTCAAGTCGGGTTTTTATATACGAAAGAACAAGTTGGGTTGTTTTCTAACCACCTTCAGCCCCGTGTACAGGTCTCGATGCAGCCGCTCCATGATGAGCAGCACGGCGATGCTGGAGCCGCCGCCGTACGTGTGATCGATGACAGAACCGTGCAGGTTGACGAGCCGCTCGTGTTTGGGCAGAGACCTGAGGCGACACACGGGGAGGAACCTCACCTTATTAAACACTTCACTTACTTTCAGCAAATTAAAACAGACACCGAAGAGCCTGAAGCATCAACAATCCAAACTATTCTTTTCTTATCATCAGTGGAGTTCACACGACAAAACGTACAGCTCTTCTTCTAAAACCACCGTGTCATGTTTCTCCCGCACGCAGCTATGAGTGACGAGCGGGGGGGTTCTGCTGACTCACCGTGTGTAGTGAAACTCTAACGCCAGGTCATTCCAGTGTTTATCGTCAGGTGGAACCACGGACTTCAGGGCGCAGGGGTAGTGTCCGCCCCAGCTGTCACACAGGTACACTACCCCGTACTGACCCCGACCCAACTCAGGTCCGAGCTTCGGCTTGCCTGGGAGGAAACTCAAGATTACTCTGCAGGTTCTAAAAGTTGTGCCATTATCTCAAATAAATGTCAGTTTTTCTTAAAGGGGCYATGTCATGTAAAATCAACTCTTTTGAACTTATATCATGTTATAATGTTACACTCTCATAAAAAAAKCACCTAGCTCTGACTCATTCATGCATGTTTGAGAAATCCTGCAGCATTTTCAGGCAGCCATGCTGAGGAGCGAAACGACAGGTGGGGACCAGAAACGCCTCTGGGACGTGTCTTTAAGCCGAACTTCCTCATCATGGAGCACACCTCCTCACACCTCACACACCCCGCCCATGACTCCTGCAGGCTCTCAGCAGTGACAAAGCAAACGAGTGAAACTGTCTGTTGCTCTTAACACTACTGCTCACTCAGTGAAGCTCTTTTCAGATTAAAAATACCTTTGAGGAAATGTATTTTCAGATGCCAAGTAAACMGCATCATYSCSCCYCACCCCCCCCCCCCCCCCGCACTGAAATGGGCGGGACAGAAGCGGAAGGTGGTTCTTTGTTTAAGGTTCTTAAAGAGACAGAGGCCAATTTCAAGGCGCTTAGAAGAGGAAGTGATGAGAAGATGTTTATTTTTTATTTAAACATAAAAACAGCATTTTAATAAAAACTAAAGGTGACATTGATATTTTATTATGGTATAGTATTTAAATGTATGCCTGAGAAACACATAACATTGCCCCTTTAATGAAAACAGCGAGATCTAAATGTTTGCATCCAAGACTTTATTTAACCAAATGTAAAGTCCTGACGTAAACAAAATTTGTGTGATTTCTGGGCATTTATAAAAGTTTCCCCGCTCTCGGAGAACAATGGGAGAGTTCGGTGATGACTCACCGTGCAACAACACATCCCTCAGGGAGCGGCTCTCTAACGACAGGCGAGCCAGGCGAGGGGCGTGGTCTTTCCTGACACGCAGCCACAGGTCCTCGGTCCGCTCCAGTCGGCCCGTGTGGCCCTCCTCCAGCTGCAGAAACACACAACGTCTCATGTTCAGCGTTAGATCCACTCAAAGTCACCGTCTCTGGAAAAGTTCTRGTGATTCTGGTAAATTAAGAAGTCTGTTTTGTTGAATGAGGAGTTTCTTTTTCAGTTTGTTTTATAAAATACAATTTAAAATTCAAGAATTAATAAACACGTTTCAAAATGCTATCAGTTGTAATTTAATCAATTATTTAAAACAATCTATCATTACAGTTCCAGGAAATAGATGGAACCAAAACATTTTACGCCGTTTAAATTATCCTAACTGAGCAGAAGCTTGTTTATTTGATTTTATTATTTTTATCCCTTATTTTTATTTCCAAACGTACTTTATAGCAGGAAGTTCTCAAGGTCTGAAGGTCTGAGTTCATTAATCAAACTGGTCGCTCCAAAAGGTCCTGATCTACCCAGAGTTTCTCCTCGGTCCGTTTCATTTTTCATACCGGAGCACAACAGGAAGCAGACGCCCTGTGGCCCAGTGTAAATATTTATTTATTCTATTCAGGGACTGGAGTGAAAAAGGATTATATTTATTTTCTTAWAAAAGGAAAATTGAAACAGTTTAACATCGTCTGTTTTCAAGCTGGTCCAGTTGTTCGTTTGAGGAGTGATTCAGAGTGAAATAAAAGAAAAACTCGTGCTCGATGGAGCGTGAAAGCAGCCGTATGATCAACAACAACGAGGCAGATTTACAGCCATAACCTGGAGACAGAAAACCGTTAAAAACAAACTATTCCTCTGAGGAGTTCCTCTCAGCTGTGTCCAAAACAAACATTTCAAATTAATCAGTTTATCTGAAAATATGAAATCAGATGAAACGTTTTCAGGCAGCAGGAGTCACGAACAGAAGTCAAACTGAATTCCTTTCATACGTTAGCGTTTGTGGAAAACAAAGATCACTTTATCTGACCCAGATTTGAAAACTCTTTCACACTGTTGGGTTTAGATAAGAGCTTTTTAAAACTAAATCTGACGCTCCGACTCTTTGCATTCACAGCATACTTTGAATTTTTTTTTGTTAAACAACCCTTTTCTTTAAAGAAATAAGCAGAAAATTGTTTTTATCTCAGACATATGTTTATATAAGCTACAAACCAGACTGTGAAATCTTTCAGCTGCTCATTCTCTTTGCTTTACGGCACTCAGGCAACAAGACTAATTAATAACTAAATGGAACGAGTCTAATTATATCCACAGAAAACTTTATCATCTAACTTCTTTAAGATTGTCTCAGCTTAATGCTGCATTTGTGTTGCCGTATGTTGAATAAAGATCAAGGTGAAGTGGAGGCGGTCCGCTCCGTTGTGTGTTTATTATCATTAACACAATCTGAACCAGTTTATCTGGATGGTGAAAGGAGAAAAGATTACATTTTCCTGAACTCTGAGCTGCACAGACGTTTAACTCCAACYTTCCCTGAAGCCACAGATGCAAAAAGCTTCAGGTCACCTGACAGGAAATCAAAGCCACAGTAGATTCTCTCAGAACATCTGAGAAAKCAACCAATTCTTTTAAGAAAGTTTATCTTTTTTACTTGTTAATGATTTTAGGGCTGCAACTGACGATTATTTTAATAATCGATTAATCTGTCGATTATTTTTTCGATTAATCGATTAATTGGCCAAATCATTAATTACATGAATATGAGTAGATATAAATTTATTTCATTCCTGTACAAATTAAGGATGCAAGTTATTGATTAATGAATTAATCTGAAGTTGATTTATCCTATAGATTGACTAACAATTGATAGGCAGCCATTTTCTTAAAAACAGGAGTTTTCTCTTGAATCAAAAGGGTCTTTCCATAAAATGAAGGACTTTTTTTTATAATCTCCTGAATTAAAAAACAGAAGCACATCATAAATATCTTAATTTATTTTGCCAAATGTATTAAATACTGACTGAAAAAAATGTGTATTTCTCATACATGAAACATAACAGAAACTTAATAGGTTGCTGAATGAGGAAAATAGATTAAAGGGCCAATATTATGTGTTTCTCAGGCATACATTTAAATACTATACTATAATAAAGTATCTATGTCACCTTTAGTTGTTATTAAAATGCTGTTTTTATGTTTAAATAGAAAATAACTTATCTTCTCATCATTTCCTCTTCCAAAACGCCTTGAAATTGGCCTCTGTCTCTTTAAGAACCACCTTCTGCTTCTGTTTCGCCCATTTC